GCCGGAGAGGCTGAAGCAGAAGAGGCAGTCCCTGTCCCCGTCCCGGAGTTAACAGGCCAGTGGGGAGCAAGTGACAATACACAAGGTAGAGAGGGCATCAGTTTTTGTAACATCGCTAAGCCCCCATCAGTGGGGGCCAGTGGATACCAACCTGCTGGCTGCTCTGCTCAAAGCCCCGTACTCCTCTGGGCTGTGTTCTGCCAGCCCCTCCTGTACCATCACACCTGCCAGGTGAACACCTGTACACAGCCTCTGGGCCTGGAGGAGCCAGGAGTGAGGGACAAGGCTGCCCTGGGAGGCCAGAAGCCTGGCCCTTCCAATGGAGACTGCAGCCGCCTGCCACCCTGGGGTCACTGCTGGGGAATAGCTTCTGCTCTGGGGTCTACTGGTGCAGCCAGAGTTTATGAAAAGTGTGGCCTCGTGGGCTAGTTTGGGACACTCCATCTGCTGAAGCAGATTCTGGAAAGTGGCTGTTGCTGTGGGCCGGTGGGCCGGGCGGGTGAGAGCAGGGACCGCGGAAGCAAAGCACCTCAAAGCCGCGGAGAGCTCAGGCCAGAGTCTAGACCCAGTTGAGCCTGCCACCCCCACATACTGGCCACCACCGACCCCTCCCTCCTGGCCAGTAGCACACACAAGCCTCTGCCCTCGTGGAGCTGAACATTCTGTGGGGGCGAGAGCCACGAACATAAAACTGGCCAATAAACAGAATTTGTGAGTTTTTTTCTAAGCCAAATGGAAGAAGAAAAAATACACCAAAGTGGCTAGTCACCTATTAGCTCTGATTTATACTCTACTTTAGTATCTCCTCCAAGGAAATGAAAGGTATATTTTCATCAAATATAATCGTTTATAGCTTCTAAAGGGGAGACAAACTGCTCTGTGACAATTACCTGGGCCCGCAGATAAAATCGAAAGATGTGTCTTAATAAAACAAACTTGTCTAGCAGTCACCCTCAGGCACGCGGCCAGAGCTGTTTTCTTCCCTGTGAATTATTCCCCAGGCAGAGGCGAGGATCCCGCACGGTGTGGCCGACGGCCAGAGACACCACTGCAGAAGGCGGGAAGGGGTCATGCCGCAGCACCCGCGGGCCTGATGGCAGCTGTGGACGCCACAGCACTGGAGGCCCGGCCAGGCCCTGCCTCTGCTGGCAGCCTCCCCCCACTGCCCAGCTCCCCTCCCGGCCCTGCGCTCCGGCTCCTGCAAATCCCGGAGCTGATGTGCAAACAGCTGAAATCTCTCGTCTGGGTGCATCTCACTTCGGTGACAGAAATTAAGCAGAGAGATGCTGCTTAAGATCTTCTAGAGTCTCAGTTTCTTTGTGTTCCCTTGTCAAAGTGCCATGGACTAAACCACCAAGCGTCCAGGGCTCCAGATGGACTTTCCATGTCTTTCTGGCGTTCAGAGGCGGGAGAAGGGCTTTAATGGGATCTGCTCCAAGGCTGCGCGGAGAACAAGTGTTGACTCATTCTTCATTCAACAAATACTGAGCGATGGCACGGTGCTAGGCACTGAGATACGGAGGTAAACAGGACACCCATGCAGGTGACCTTCTCCGTGGGGCAGAAAAACTATGGCCTGGTACGCAAACATACTGGCCAGGTAGGCAAATATATCGACCAGGTAAGGAACTTTGTGCCACGGAAAAAATAAACAGGCTAATGTGATGAGGGGCAGGGCGGAGGGGCCCTAGCCAGGACAGTGATCAGAAAAGGTCTTTGAGGAGGCAACACACAGACGAGGCCTGAGCAATGGGGGAGGCAGCCGCAACAGGTCTAGGCAACAGCGGCCAACGCCAAGGCCCTGAGGCAGGGAAGGGCTCTGTGGTCTAGAACAGTGGTTCTCAAAGCATGGTCTGGGAATCCCTGTTTTCATAAAAATAATAAGACATTTTCCCTTTATTCATTTTCCTAGGGGTGCACAGAGGAGTTTTCCAGCCGCCACATACTGTGTGCTATCACAACAGACTGAAAGTGGCCACAAAGAAGAGGATCCAGATGTCTTCTGTTAAGCCAGACATTAAAGAGATTTGTAAAAATGTGAACCATTAATTGTTTCTGTTTTGGAAAATAGTTATTGTTCCAGAAAATGATATTAGTTATGCTTATATGCAATGGATGTATTCAATAAATCAATAAATATTAAAAGCATTTCTTGGTTTTAATTTCTAATGCCATAAAAGTCTATAGATATAATCCATATAAACTAAAGCTCTTTAGGTTTCTCAATACTTTTAAAATACTTTTTAAGAGCATAAAGGGGTCCTGAGCCCATAACGTTGAGAAGTGCTGGCTTAGAGGGGCAGCCAGGGCTGGTGTGGCCGGGGTCGGGCTGGAGTCTGGAGCGAACATGGGGGGACTTCACCTGAGGGGCCGGGCTGCACAGCCACCACCCAAGATCAGGAGAGATGTGGATTTTGTTCCAAGTGCAACAGGAAGCTACCAGACGGATGTAGGCAGGGGTATGACACACTCTGATTTACGTTCTAGAAAGATCCCACAGGTCAAATGGAAGGGAGCGTATGCGATTGGAAGCTGGGGAGCCCGAGGAGGCTGCTGCTCTCAGGGGATCTTGGGCGAGGGCTGGGAGGGGAGGAGACGTGAGGTACTTTTTGGAGGTGGAGCAGGCTGGCGGGTACGGGAGGGGGAGAGGAGAATTACAGATGACTGCAGACGCTGAGGGCTGTCTCTGCGGGGGCCCTGACTGCTGAGAAGGGGAAGGGGACGGCCACTGCCCCTCCTCCCCCCATGGGACCCCCAACCCCACACTAAGGCTCTGGGATTTCGACTTGCTCTTCAGGCCACAGCTGTGGCACCAAGCCAAGGCAGAAGGGCAGTGAGGCCTCTCTCCCTGGGAGGGACATAAGTGAGAATGTCCCCACCCCACTGCCCACACCTGAGTGGCACTTCCAGGGGTAGTCAGGCGAGAGCCACAGCCAAGGGTTGGATGCTGCCTTCAGCAGCTACCTTTGACTTGCTGTCGTCCCACCTGTCACAGCCTCATATTCCCCGACCCTGGGACCCACAACAGGACACTGGGCATCACACTGTGCCAACCACCCCTGGCAGGCAGGCCTAGGCCACCGGAGCTGGGGCCACACCCCCAGCACTTAGTGATCTCACACCCCCCCGGGCGGGTGCAACAGGTGAGTAATAAGCATCGTGAAGCACGGTGCAAACAGAGAAAGAACCGTGCGGACGCTGAAGACTATGACACTTGCTCTATTTATTTATTTACACTCGGCCTTCTTCCAAAAAGGACTAGAGCCGAAATAAGGTTTAGACTTTTCTCCTTAACCAGTAAGTTCCTGAACTGAAAGAAGCCCTGATGACCCTAAAGAAATAATTTCTTACCAGGCCAATCTGCAGTTCGTCGACCTGGACTCACAGTCACAGTTTATGTTTACTCAGCAGTCATTGCTATACAACAGGACACAACCTGAGGAATTTTTTTTAACAAAGACTCCTCCAGACCCTAGAACAGGCAGAATCATCTCATACGTCATAGCTGAAAAGAGAGGCGGTACGACAATCCACCTCGCAGCCCAAGAGTGGTTTTAAGAATGAAAACGGTCACAAGCTGTGGGTTGCAGTGAACCGGCGCACTTCTTTCTGCAGTTCGTGTTAGGACTATACGTTCATATATGAAGATTAAAAACCTGCCCCTTTGACTTGGCAGATCCACTGCTGGGAATTTATCCTACAGACATGCAAGATCTGCACGATTACACAAAGACACCCCAAGGATGTTCGCTGTGACACTGTAAGAGCAAAACACTGGAAACGACCCAAGTATCCATCAACACGCGACAGTTATAAAATTGTTTTTGTCCATTCATATGATAAAATACCATATAACACTTAATGAGAATCAAGTCGATTTATATGTGTTAACGTGTAACACTATCAAGTGAAAAGAGGAAGGGGTACAGAATCACAAACATGTTATAACCCCATGTGTAAAAGCAAACATGCATAAACATATATATGACACGCAAATTAACATTTCTAGACGGATATACAAGAAATTGTTAATATGAAGTGCAGTTATTTCTGAAGCAAAGTAGACTTATTTTTCATTTTATCATGTCCTGCATGGATTTTAAAAAAATCATATGCCTACAAAAAATACATTCAAAAAATGAATTAATCAAATCGAAGAATGAAAGTAGAATCAATCATTGAGGGAGGGCAGGGGAGCCAGGACCCAGATTTTAGGCAGGTTCTTATAGCTACATTTTGTTTTTAAATCGATAACTGCTTTTGAATACATTTCACAACACTTGCAATATAAGTTTGAAATCCTTAATGGGGAAGGATTAGGCTTCAGGGGAGATCGTGGCTAGTTTTCTCAAGTTTTGCAATCAGGAGAAAGTCTCTCTTTCGAGGGATCCGGGTACATATGGATTCACTTAAAGCAGACGTGTCAGGACAGGAAGGGGAGAGCTGGTCTTCTGGAGAAGCAGTTCTTGCTGCTCTGCCAAATCGACCTAAACTTTCCATCGGAGTTGCTCCTTCGGGGAAGGGGAGGAGGGGGGTTAGGGATGAACCCTGGTGGAAGTCGGCAGAGATGCTACAAGGTGGCAGAAATGGGTGGCAGGGTCTTCTCCTGAAGTCCCACTTCTTCAGGGGACTGTAACAGGAACCAAACACACTATCTCTTTCTAGTCATCTTACAAGGAGGAGGAAATTACTCTCCCACAACTCATTACTAATAATTTAAGTATTTCCAAGAAACTTCTTAGTCAGTTCTGAGAAGTTCTTCCACATACCCAACAAATCTCTGGAAAACCAAACCATGGCGGTAAAACACCAGCGGGAAAGCCAAGATTTATTTTGGGGGCTTGTGTTTATCTTGTGCTGTGCTCTGACAAATTCTAAAAGCTGGTGCTCCCGGCTCACTGGATTTCAGACAGAGGAAGGGCAGCGCACACAGGCTCAACAGAGAGAAAGCCCTTGAACCCCCACCGTGGGCCGCGGCGCAGGACAGGGGGCTGGCTTACCTGGCACCTTGTCCACAGAAGCAAACACAGAGCGCTGCACCGTGGGGTCACTGCTGCCCCGGCGGCCCTGGTCATAGAAGCGGAAAGGCAGGTGCTGGGTGGAAGAGGAGGAGCCGAGTCCGAAGCCCAGGACTTCGGTCGTTGGCTGGATCGGGAGGTCCAGGAGGGCTGCAGTCAGACGATACCATGGATCACTGTCAGCACGTGGCATGGGGGGCAGGTGATGAGACTTTGGAGGGACTGTAGTGGCTGTGGCCCTGCCAGGCACGTCACTTGGAGGAGCCAAGCAGGCAGCCTTGAGCTGGAGAGATCAGTGGGACACCAAAGATCCCACTGAGGCTCAAAGCACAACCAGGCATCTAGTGAGGGGTTCAGGCAAAGCTTGAGACCAAGGAGCAAGGGGTTCCAGGCCTGGCTCCTCGAATGGAACGGATGCTGGGCCAATCCCTACCTTGGATTCTCAGCTTCCATGTTATAAAGGTCCCTGACCAAGGCTTAGCCTCTGGTCGGTGCCCTTTCAGACCCCAAAACAAGTGGGACCAATTCTGCCTGGAAAGTTAGTGTGTGTGTGTGTGTGTGTGTGTGTGTGTAGGTGCGTGGGAAGAGCACGTGAGAAAGAATCCATATGCGCACATACGTGTGTATTTATGAGTAGGTGTTTATCTGTCTCAGCTGCTATCCTTTCTTCTATAAACAAGTCTCATGATATAGTAATTCAGAGGGGCTTTTTAAAATCAATTTAAGAAATACCCAAGGCGTTAGTTCTAACAGCCACTTTACGGCATAATTCTCAATTTCCAAATGAAATATTTGGCCTTCATGCCAGCTGTGAGAAATTGCTTTACATGGGGGGAAAAAAACCCTTTGCAAATAAATCTTAAAAGAAAGGCCTGAATGATTTAAGTCACTTTGCACATTACAAAATGCTTCTATAATGATTTTGTAGGCCAAGTTTCAGCTAAATGAGAAATGAGACGGAGAGGACGCCACAGGACGTAGCCCGTGCAAATCACCGAGGCACACGCAGCAGCAAGCAGCTAGATCTGCAGTGTCCACCAAACCAGCCCTCCAAGGGTTTATTTTTAAGTTATCCCTTGGGAAAGCTCCCGCTCCCCCAGTGAGCTGGAAACCGCACCAGCATGATCAGGGGGACCTGAAATGAGCAGTGCTGAGTATCTTGAGAAAGACCGTTCATAATTTTAAGAGGCAGGGCGAATGTCTTGCCTTCCTCCCCGGTAAACAGAACAGCCTCATCTCAGTGTCTCTACTTCTAAGGAAGCCGGGGCCTTCCTGACACCGGGCAGTGCTGGGCTTCCTCAAGTCACCACCATCCCTGTGAAACGTAAAACAACTTCCTTCTGAATCCGGTCCTGGGTCCGGGCCCCTCACTAAGCAGGGCTGCCTCTCATGAGAGCTTTCGAGCAGGAAGTTCTGCATTTGGGTTCTGCCAACCTGCTGCCTGTGTGGGTGACTTCGGTCAAGCCACTGAGCCTGCTTCCTCCTCTGTAAAACGTGCAGAGCTGGCCCCACGGATCTCAAGGATTGTTTTAAGGATCGAAGGCAGGAGACAAACGTTGAAGCACTTTGAGAATTTCAGTGTGCAGGAGTGAGAACAGCTGTCCCACACTGACGCCTGCCTGCTCATGGCCTCCTGTCTGCTAGGGAGGGTTCCCTTTCTTTTCCAGGCAGCCCTAGGAATTCTCCAGAAACCAAAACTTAGGAAGTGGGGAACTCCGAGCAGATTCTCCTCTCTCATCAATTAAGCAATCTATTCCTGAACCACGTGTGTCATCTTCTAGAGAGGCCACGAGGGTTTTCAAGGTCAGGGTGAGGACCACGTCGAAAGCTCTGCCCGAGGGCCCAGCCACTCACCCGCTATCCTCTGCATCTTCATGCGCCTCGCCTGGATGCGGCCCTTGGCCAGGCGCTGCTTGGCGATGATGCAGCGGATGTGGTCTGAGAAGATGAAGGTGGCCTGGAGGATGGGGAAGGGCTTGGAGTGGGGGCTGGACGCAGGCTTGTGGATGGTGATGTTCAGGGCGCGGCTGTCATCATCCACACCAGTCACTTGCATGTCCTGCGCAGTGAGGGGCAAAGGAACGGGTGTTTGTTGCGCTCGGGAGGAGGGCAGCTGCTCAGAGGCTGTGGGGTCATGGCTCATCTAGAGAGAGGCCTCCAAATACAGCCCTGCTTTTGCTCTGAAGGAGACCATCAGCCTCCCACGTCCAGCAGAGTCAGTGGGCACAAAGCAGACCAGGCCCAGTGGGAAAGCCAGGCGGGGGGACACAGAGGGCCCCAAAGGAGCCGATGCTGGCTGTGGTGGCCGGCCCCCATTTCCATGGGGACTTGAGTCATCTAATGAATAGACAGGTACCCCAGCCTCTTCAAGGGGCCACAGGTAATTCAGCAGGCAAGCTCCAATAATTCTTGCTTCTGAGAAACCAGAGACAATGAGCTAAAATTCCCATCACTATCTGGCATGATCTTATATATAGTCACTTAATCTACTAACCAATTTCTTTCTTATTTCTCTGAAGAAGGAAGCATCATTGGCAACCATTCGTATGTCTTTGGTTCCTAAAGGAAAAAAGCTCACCCTGAGGAAGGGACAGGGAGGGCCACTTAGCAGAGATTTGAAGAAAGATACATCTAAAGGTGGAGAAGAAAGGCCAGGTGTAGTGGCTCATGCCTGTAATCCTAGCACTCTGGGATGCTGAGGCAGGAGGACTGCTTGAGGTCAGGAGTTTGAGACCAGCCTGAGTAAGAGTGAGACTCCATCTCTACCAAAAATAGAAAAAAATTAGCCAGGTATGGTGGCGCACGCCTGCAGTCCCAGCTACTATACTCAGGAGGCTGAGGCAGGAGGATCACTTGAGCCCAGGAGTTTGAGGTTGCAGTCAGCTATGACCACACCATTACACACTCTAACCTGGGCCACAGAGCAAGGCTCTGCCTCAAAAAAAAAAAAAAAAAAAAAAGGTGGAGAAGAAACAAACACGTCGTAAGTATAATAAGGACAATTCCAATCTAAGACCTCAGAATGGACTGTGTATAGAAAATCCCATGAAGGTTTGGGGTGATTTGAAGCAAAAGCGTGAGAAAGTAGATAGACTCAAAAGTCAGCAATGCTAGAGGAGGTAGAGAAAAATGCTGAAAAACACTTGCGAAGTAACATAGTCGCTGTTTTTAGGCATCACACTTGGCACGAGCTCTTTGGAAATAATACCCACATCGAAATGTGGCAGTAGGGATTAGATGAGGTATTATGCATTTAAAGCAAGGAGCGTGGTATAGTAACGACCTGACAAATAGTAGCCATTGGAAGTCGGCCAAAAAAAAGGTTTATGTGGCTTTTATTGTATGAAGGAGGACGTGTATTAATCCTTCAGGGGAGAAAAACACTCTCCTGACACTAAATTCTAAAGGAAATTGATCATAAGCCTAGATAAATAAGAAGTATAAGTCACCTAATGGACAATGTCTTCCATGGAAGTCTTTTTTTTAAATGAAAGATTCTTCTATAGTTGTTTCTCATACACACTCTGCAAAAGATTTTTTTTAAACAGAAAGACCCTGAAAAAGGGGAGGTTGGGGAAGAGACTGCGATAGCATCTTCAAACACACGGGGGGTTCTCGTGAAGAGCCAGCAGGTCACGCTGCGGGGAGGAGGAGGCTGCGGGGCAGCCTGGGCAAGGCCCTTCCAGAAGCCAGGACCGCCCAGCTAGGAAACGGACTGCCTTGAAGGAGGGTGACGCTAAGGCCAGAAGTGTCTGCTGGACATCCGGGGACCGGGGACTGGTGGTGTGGCAGAGGGGCGTGCCGCAAGGCTGCTTTCAACCCCCAGGTTCTTTGCTTCCTCTGCTCAACGAGCTGGCATTAGTCACCCATCACATTGACAAACATCAGAAAAACCCTAAGCCCCAGCTTGGTGCTTGGCAACTTAGAGCCTAGCTTTGCTGGAGAGAGGGTGAGGAGCAGGGAATTCATATAAATTGCTAGTGGCAAAAGTCATTTTAGAGAGGAATTTGGCAATATCTATTAACACTTAAAATTGGCACACCCCAACTTCTTGGTATCCGTCGAGGGAAATCTTGCCCAAGTGCATAAGGACGTAAGAACGATTCTGGTCACAGCAGCACTGTTTGGAAAGGTAAAAAACTGGCAACAGCCAACAGGGTACTACTGGCTAAACATGCCTTGGTATAGTCCCACAGCAGTTAAAAAGAACACCAGTAGGTCTGCATATACTAACACGGTTAGTTCTCTAAGACATGCTATTGAGTGAAAAAAGCAAAGGGAAGAATATGTTCGATGTGATACCACAAAAAATACACACAGACACACTCTGTCAAGTATATGTACACAATTTAAAAAAATAGTACATGTCATCATATTTAAAAATGCATTTGGCAGAGAAGCAGATCTGGAAGGATCATCCTGATAACAGGAGTTCTCTCCTCTTGCGGAGGGGAGGTGTAAGGATTGAGGGTTGTGGTCGAAGAGGACTCAGCTCTTATCGGTACACCTGTGCAATGTTTCAGCACTTTTTCTGGTGATAATTTGTTCACATATTCCTTGAATCATTACTAATTAATTGTAAAGATGGTAATTTTGTGTGTGCGTTTGTACAGCTGACTGAGAAGAGATTCCGGGGTCCTTGGCCACCTTACCTGCAGAAGGCCTGCAAACTTGACTACTCCCCAGCCAAGCCTGGACACGTCGGGCTCCACCAAACTCATCTGGTAAATGTCGACAGCCAGGAATCGCTGGACCATGCCGCCATCCTTTGTGATCACCGTGCACGCGATCAAGTCGCTGTTATCTGGGAGAAGGGAGGTGGAGAACAGGATGAGGCCCAGCCTGGCTGCCCCACCTGGTGGCAGTACTCGACTGACTCTCATGCTGCCAGGCAGCAGAGCCCAGTGGTCAGAGCCTAGGCCCAGAGTCACACAGACGCAGGTCTGAGTCCCTCCTCTGCCAGCTATGCTGGGCAAGCTTCTTTGCCTCTCTGGCCCTCGGAATTCTCATCCGTGTAATGAGGGTAACATCTCCTTCCAAGTGCTATTCGTTAGGACTGATATAAAGTACATAAAGCGTCAGTCCAATGTGCACTGTGTATTGGGTGGTCAAACCATAGCTTAAAAATAGCCAACAATGCAAGAATCCCATGAACAGTTCATGCTTTCTTAGAGACCAATGGCAGTTTACAGCTGTGATGGTTAAACTGGGTTCACCTAAATTAAGTGAAGACAGGAAAGCAAGAGTCCCCAGATCTGTTATAGGATCACCAAGCTTGGAACTTGGGGTCTGGCAATTTAGAGCCAAGCTCTGCGCTAGATGGCGTATGATCCTGGGCAAGGCACTTGGCCCCTCGGAACCAGTTTTCTCATTTGTAAAATGGGAATAACGTCCCTTATCTTGAGATGTTTGGTGTGTGAAATGAGAACAGATAGGAAAAGCATTTAGCCCGGAGTCTTGTGCATAGGGGTCGTCAGCATACGCTAGAGCCCTTCTCTTACTTCAAAGTAATCCCCAAATTCAATGTTTAATTTAGTGCCTGTCCTTGAGACTCTGAGATCACCTGAGTAACAGAGGACCCTTAAACGTACAGTCTGCGTTCCCACCAGTGGAATCGTCTGCCACATTTGTTTTGAACAAGATAGCCGAACCAGGAAACAACCTAAACATCCCCAGACAGGAGGACTGTTTGAGTAGGATTTTTTCCCACCAGACGGAAAATTATAAACCCATCTAAAAGTTACGTTTAACCAAACTGTGAACAGTGGTTACCTGTGGGGAGGGAAGTGAGACTTGGGAGTGGGAGTGTGTTGGGAGGGGAGTATTAATGGGAGAACTTTCATCTTTGTTCTATGTACCACTCCATCGCTTGAAATTATTTTAAAATGAGAAAGCATTCAAGATACACTTTTGAAATACATACAACAAACCCGAGTTTAAAATGTTTGCAAACAATTGCAATGACAGTGGAAAACATTATAATTTTAAAGGAAAGAGGATAAAAATTTCATTACTATGAGTTTGATAGGTTAAAAAAAAAAAGGTATCCCTACAAAGAAATACAAGTGCAGAGAAAGGTGCCAAAACATTAACAGAAGTCTCTGATTAAAGGAAGAATGGTAGGTGGGGTCTTTTGGTTTTTCTTAACAGCTTTATTGAGGTATAATTTATACACTATAAAATTCACTTATTTTAAATATACGGTTTGAGTTTTAGTAAATTTATAGTTGTGCATTACCATAGCCCAGTCGTGGAATACTTCCATCACCCCAATACGTTCTGTTGGGAGCACTTTAAGCAAATATTCGGCTTAACTTTATTGGGGGAAGAGGGAGATAACACAAATGATATTAATCCTGGCCCCAAACACACATGATAAAAAACTTGGACTCAGGTATTCTCAGTGGATCTCCCCTGCCCCTGCCATTTTTATTTCTCATTTGGATCTAAAGATGACGGGTACATTTCTTCTCTCTCTCTCTCCCTCTCCCCTCTCAACACACACCTTGGTTCAATCCTCCCATAGTGTAACCTGCCCAGGATTCTGGCTTCGTGTGGACGTGGCCCGGTCTGTCCTCTCAGCTCTCACAGGCCTCATGTTTCTCTCTATTCCGTCTAGCAGATGACCACCGAGACAGCCAGGTACCCCCACGGCCAACACCGGCACCAGGCAGGCTTCGCTGTTTGCATTTGCACTTCCTTTTCATCTATGGCAAGAGTCTTCTTCCCTTTCCCAACAGTCCAGCCAGGTATTTGTAATATTTTTTTAAAAATACATTTTATCCTGAATTTTCAGTTCCACACTGGATGACCCTCTCCAGATCTCTAGTCTTCTGTATTATCAAAAATGTAAGTCATCATATTCATTCTTATCAACGTTTTCTTGGTGGTAGGTAGGGTTTATTTTCTTTACTCCATATTTTAAACATTTCCTCAATGGGAATTTTTTTAAAAATACTTTTTAAAAATAGAACAAAGACAATAAACATGTTCTTTCCTTTTTTCTTTCTCTTCTGTCTCCTGTCCTAGCCTCTCTTCTTTCCCTCTCTGAACCGGACAGCTTCACTTTCTCCTGTTCTCACACGCACAGCGGCTGCTCATCTGGGGGCGTGCCTGGGAGGGCACAGTCATGCCCGTCACGGTGGGGTCTGCCTGGCTGCCTGGGGGGCTTCGAGGGGGAGAAAAGACCTGCCCCCTCCACCACAAAGAGCGAAAAAGGAAGGACAAACTCCAAAGCGGAACAGCTTTCAGAAATGTAACTGAGACATCAAAGCCCTGTGAGAACGCAGCGAGAGATTTCACAAGAAAACTAAAACCAGCTTTAAACTAAAACCAGCGCGACAGGAAGGCTCCCGCGGAGGGAGCCTCTTGCTTTTCAGAAGCTGTGGGGCAGTTCAGGAGAAAGGAAGTGGCCTCTACCGATTACAAGAGAATGCCGTCTTCAAGGGACATCAAGGAAATGCTGGTTTGGGATGACTTGTTTGTTCGTGGGCCTCTCGGGTATCGGGTATCACTTGAGGGGCCTCCTGCAGCGCCCCACCCCCCAGTAGCTCCACATACTGGGTCGTGGAGCCCTGGGGGACAGTGACAGTTCACCTTTGCATTGCCACCATGTCTTGGGTAAAGGAGGAACCCAGGACAGTTGCTGAATGGAACCCAACTTTGCCCCCGCACTAGGGGCTTTGCCTGCGGCCTTCGTCCGTGCACGTGTGGATTTTGCTGGGAGTCAGCACAGTCGCGCTGGCCTGTGGGAAGGACTCGGTGGCAGGGAGCCCTGTCATGATGTGTGGCAGCCTCAGGAGCCTCCCTGCCTGACACTCAGGAATGGTAGTGGCTATGAGAGGCCAGGGCAGGTGACAGGTGACATGAGGCTTCCTGGCCATCCATACTCTGTCACTGTCCAGATGTCACTGCCCATCTGAATCCCTTGCACTTCAAAATGGCTGGGGCCTAGGACACCATTAAAAAAATGATCAGAAGGCAAGATAGGAGGATGTCCATGTGGCATCCACGAGGCAAACGGTGAATAAACTAGTGAACGTGATGTAGTCCCTTAGGCCACGCACAGACGAGGGAATGGGGACAGCCAATAAACACACACGAAGGTGCTCATCCTGAGAAATCAGCAAACGCATCAGAACAAGACACCAGCTTCTATTCATAGGACTGGCAAGAATAAAAATGTCTGATAACATCAGGTGCTGTGAGGACACAGAGAAACTGGCATTCTCAAAAGCTGCTAGCAGGAGAATAAATTAACAGAGCCATTGTGAAGGGCAAATTAGCATTATTTATTAAAACCGAAAGTTTCACATCCTATGACCTAGCAATTGGTATGTTCCCAAGAAAAACACTCACATGCGTGGGCCAAGAGACGCATGCAAGGATGTTGAGAGAAGCTTTTGGGTAAGGACCCAAATGGTTCAGCAACAATGAATGCCTGAATAAAACGTGTTCATTCATTCCGTGCAAAACTGTATGCCAATGACAAGGAATGAATCAGCTCTCTAGATATTTCAACAGTTTCAAGAACATACTGTTGAGTGGAAAAATCAAGTTGCAAGGTGATTTTAGTCTATATGCAGTGCTCTGATTTTCCAAAGGGAAAACAGATAGGTTATTTGCATACTCAAAATTGAATAAAGAGAAAAGCAAATCTCTTTCCACACCCTTACACAGGACCTGGGGCCCAGCCGGGGTTGGGGAAGCACCAGAGCTGGCCGGGCTCTGCCTGATCGCAGAGACAGTGGACAATCACTGAGCACTGGCTGATGGAGAGAACCCGGGAGCTCTCCTACAGCACCCTCGGGGCACGGCAGTGGATGCTTCCAACTGGCCAGATCTGTGAGCTCAAGAGCTCTGGGGTGTAGCTCACCTCGCGCGTGCGTGCACGATCTGAGTGCCCACTCAGGCCAGGCCCTGCGCAGAGCACTGATACGGAGACTGAGGCTTGGCCCCACCTCGAGGAGCTCAGGGTCCAGCTGGGAGGCCTGGGTGCCCATTGGCAGAGCTGGGCTCGGAACCATAAAGAGCCATGCAGACCAAGTCTCCACTCGGTAGAAACCAGACCCTGTGGGCAGAGCAGGTGGGATGGCAGAAGTCTGTACAGCTCCCCCAGGACCCTAAAGGTGTGGTGTGCCTCCCAGTGGCACCTCGCTCCAGGGAAAGGTGACATGGCCCTCCTGCTCCGAGGTTCTGTCTCTTTTGTTTTATTTTTTGAGGAGGGAGAAAATTTGCCCTTTTATTTGAAAATAATAAGCTTATCAGTCTCTTTCACTAGATAACACATTCATATGTTCCCATTTTAAAAGGTATAAAACCTTTTTACAATGGACAATAAGTTCCCCCCACCCCCCTCTGCAGAGGCGACCACCGCACGGATTTCTGGTCATCCATCCACCACGTGTTTCCGAGTGCTCACGTAGCTATGGGCTCCCCTACCTTTGCTTTCACAAACGATGGCATGCCACGCTGTGCTTCTGCCACTGAACCATACATCCTGGTAACAGACAGATCAGCACAAAGACCCTCCCTGGTACTTTTTCATAGCTGCAGTCTCCCCTACGATAGGGGTAACTCTGAATGATTTAACAGCTCCCCAACTGGTGGAGATTCAGCTTGTTTATAAGCTTTTGCCAAGACAGTTGAAGGAATATTCTTATTTATATGCACATGTGAGAGCAAATCACTAGCAGCAAAGTAGAGCTGAGGGTTAATTGTTCTCTTTAAAGCACTGTGTTTTACTAAAATAAACTTATTTAAAAAGGAGACTTTATATCATTACCATGAATGGAAAACTAGAAT